TGTATCGACCAAACTCTAGCAGAAGTGGATGCCATCCAGTACAGCCTAAGTGTGTACTTAGTGGTATCCTCATGATAACTTTATTATTAAACATCTTTTCCTGCTTGAAGACATAATTTAATGAGATATAATAAAATGTATTCATGTCTGTGAGATCATTTTGCGTTCGGTGACAGGATTGTTGCAGCAATCCACTTTGGCATTGTGTTAAAGATTACATCATCAATAATCGGAAATTTCCAGACAATTTGTCAGTACAATCAGAGATGCATTACTTGGGGTTTGCAACTACGGTGACATGATACCAAGATCCAGTTTCAATCTCCCTCTCACCTCTCAGAAAAATGTGAATGCTCATGCCCTAGGTAACTAGGATACTGGGATGTCCAGGTGGATCAAAATAGCTGCTCATGATATGACCGATTACGATAACTATATTTTCTGTACATTTTTGATGTATTACATTTTTTCACTATGAATGTGGTAATACATGTTTTATTGTTTTATTACCGGTAATAACCGCCTATGTCATGTCGGAAGGTCGTAGCACCAGTCTCGCTATCTACGAGATGAGACTTAAATGGGATCTTGACATGATGTCACCATACAGTACTATGAGCGTTGCAAACCCCAAGTAATGTACCTCTGGTACAATATATAATTTTGATTGGTTAGGTTAAATCGTGGTGAAAAACATAATGTTGACAATTGTTTGTGTGCAATTAAAAACATCCCACAACTAAGATAATGATAAAGATCTTGCCTTTAAATGTTTTCCCACAGACCCTACCCATTTTTACACCGTAAATTCAAATGGTATGTGAGATGTATTGTAAAAGAAATGGCACATTTTTTACTCCGTGTGCGAAGCACAAAAGGGAGTCTTTGCAGTTACCCTGTATGTATGTATGTATGTATGTATGTATGTATGTCACTTTTTTTTGTTCCACTGTTATCTCAAGAACCATTAATCACATTTTGGTGAAACTTGGCACATGGATGCTCTGAACTAGTGCGCAGATTTGATTAGTTTTAGGTAAAAATTTATGAATATTAATTACCTGATTTGAATGATAATTAACTGATTTCAAGCTGTTCCATGACTGTCCCACTGATTTTTGAAGAACCACTCATTGGATTTCAATGAAACTTGGCACATGGATGCTCTGAACTAATGCGCAGATTTGATTAGTTTTGGGTAAAAATCTATGAATATTAATTACCTAATTTGAATGATAATTAACTGATTTCAAGCTGTTCCATGACTGTTCCACTGATTTTTGAAGAACCACTCATTGGATTTCAATGAAACTTGGCACATGGATGCTCTGAACTAGTGCGCAGATTTGATTAGTTTGGGTAAAAATCTGTTATATTATTATTATCTATTTACATAATGATAATCAATTTCTG